TTCATTCTGTTCTTTCATCAATGTTATCACAAAATTTCTTCACTTCATCGAGTCTTTAAATTCCTAAAATCAATTCCTCCCTCTAAACTCGTCCCCAGCTCCAGTGTCTCTAAGCTCGTTTCCCCGTTTCTGTTACAGGCACGAATCGATGTTAAAATTCTCGTCTCGCGTTGCGAGGCAAGCGGTTTCTAATTACGGAAAACTTTAAAAGATTATTCGTACAATGGAGGCCTGTCGGTGCGGATGTGACGCATTGACGCGTGAATCGATCGATCCGCCGCATGAGCCGTGCTGTTGCTGCAGCTACAATCCCTTCAGCGACAAAGAAGCAGAGATCTACGACCTGCCGTTTGCCCTGAAGAAGCTCACGGTAATGAAGTGTCAGATGAAGAAGTGGCGAATGGAAAGACTTCAGCTTGAGAGCGAAAATAGATCTCTGAAACAAGCCCTCCAGTCATTCGGTACCGATGTATGATATTTCTACTAACTTTCCCCCCCCCCCCTTTCTTCCAACTATCCTTCTTCGTCTGCTTCTTCGGGATTCTCTTCCTCCTTCTGTGATTCGTCTAGCACGTTAACTCGCGCGAAATTGATTAATTGGAATTCTGTACGGATACCCTTTCGTTCGCGTTTCTCTTGCCTTACGAATTAGACGGAACGAGTTACGTGCAATTAGCGCTGCAAAAAAGCAGAACGTGAGAAATTATATACACTGGATTAATTTGATTAGCTCGAAATAGTTTTCGTGTCGTTGAAGATGTGAATGAGTGTCTTTGAGCGGACATCAGGCTACTGATCGATACATATATTATCGCGTTCAAGTATGATATTCCAATACTTTTGAGAGACTATGTTGATTGTACTATGTTATTTGCAATGTAATATTCAACTCACATTCGAGTAATAAATTTTGCTCAAAGTGCGTAATTTTAACCAGTGAATGACACCGAGAAATTGTAAAATCAACAAGATTATAGTCATCGTACGTTCCCGTGTTGCTCTATGCTATGTTATTCTCGCAATTTGCAACAAATTTACTATGTTATTTGCAACACAATTCTGCGAGAATTTGGACCAGTAAATTCTGTATAATAGTCAGACTGGAAGTTACCTCTCTTCGGGAATTTTTCTTTAAAATTCAGAGCATTTTCTTTGAACTGGGTATCATGCACGTGCACTGTTCCGAATACTTCTAAAGATTAGATGTTTTCGTGTAGGTGTAAATGTGGATGAGATATTGAAGCCCGATCCGCTGCTAGTGCACTCCCAGGAAGAAATCGAAAGGCTGCAAAATGCAAACGCGGCGCTCCAAGATAAAGTGAGGGATCTCGAGGAAACTCTTGCCGAGCGAGATTGCTGCGACGATCCTGACGCCACGATTCACTTCTTCAGAGAGAAGATGAGATATCTCCGAGAGGGTTTCGCGCTTGAAAAGAAAGAGTACTATTGCTCCCTACTTTCTCCACCAAGACCTTGTTTAATTCTTCCTTCATTTCGACAACGAATCATTGTTTGATAGATGATGTGCACTGCTGTTTATAAGTATCCGGGCATTTCAATTGATTCACGATAAGTCATTATTAATACGCGAATTTTTCTAAAATGTACAACTTAACGAGTACAAATCTACAAGTTAAGTGGCATAAATCTAAATTATTTATTAGAAAAACGTGGGAATGATTCATCTTGTTACACGTATATATTATTATATATATTATATACTCTCTAGTTAAATATCATTATTTTTAGATTGTTAAATTTCATTAATATTGGGAGACTTTTTTTCAATCTAAGTGCTATTTTACAGAACAAAATTTTCATTGCATATAGTATCTTCAGAATATTGTACATTTAATTGTACATTTAATGTTTATTTTGAAACAGTAGTGTATACATACTAGTGTAATAATACGAGTATAATATATAATAATATTGTTTGGAAGAATGTTCTAAAGGACGTTGTATCTTTTTAATATAAATTATTAGAATAATTAATACTATGTTCGAGAATTCAGAAAAAATATGGTTTAACATATTTTTTAACTTTTTTGTTCTCAATATCTCGCTTTAGACAATCGAAAATTTTACTGTACTCTTAGTGGAAAATATATAGCGAGAACATTGGTATTAAAATATTAAATGAATCGTTAATTCAATAATAAACATGACCTGGATGAGTGTAAATACCTTTACCAGTTCGTTAGAAGCTAATATGTTGAATTGATATTTAAAGTTCTATTCCCATTAACCCTTTTAGTCCCAATGGGACATATATGTCTCAGAGAAAATGTAAAGCACCTTACTAGGTAATAAATATTTAATTCTATTCAGCTAAAGTTTCAGTGATGTGTTACTACTTTGGTTAATGTACTTACCAAAATGTTTCCTTGAAAACTATATAGTTTACGTAATCTGGCTTTTTATAATTAACTTTCACAATGCTAATGGGATCATATAAATCTTAGACAAAGTTTCAAAGTATCGTCATATAAAATATATACGTAGAATTGTATGTTCAATCAAAGTAGTATGCTGGTATTTTATGTAGTATCTGCACTAAATAGTTCTCATGAAAAATGTGTAGACAACTACACGACCTAATTTGTCTCTTATTACTAACTATTAACTAAGTAACGATTATTATGTCTCATTATCAAAGATCTCATTATCTACACTGAAAGGATTACTTCGAAATGAAATCATTTAATCAAATATTAAAAAGTAGTTACATTTATAAAATTTAGCTTGTAACTGTAGAAGAATCTAATCTTACACTCCTGACTCCTGACAAAACAAAAATGTCTTATTTCCTCGCCTGATTCATTTTATAACCACTCTGTATTTTTTCCACTAAAAAAATTTGAAAATATTTTTACAGCCTGAGAATGAAGCGTCAAAGAAATTTCTTTACAGATTGCGGGACATAATATCGGATTTGAGGTTGAAGCTGGCACAGGTCGAAGAGGACATCAGCTGCCCCGCGATATATCGTTTAAGAGCAAAGTTGCGTGAACTCATGAAAGGTCAAGTGGCCGAGCAGCAGGTCTCCAAAGTTGTGGAGAAATCGATCGAAACCTTGGTGGACCTCTCGAAGAGCTGCGACGATCTACGTTTGGAAAACGAACGTCTTTTGGACGAGTTGGCTAACTTGCGTCGTGTGTTGGCTGATCACGAAGGGAAGGAAATACCGGAATCAATCTTGAGAACAGTCGAAACGGTCACCGTGCCGGAATACGTTGACATTTCAGATCTATTGGACAAGCTGAATAACTGCGAGGATACTGTGGCTGACCTAAGAAAACAGTTAGAAGGAAAAGACAAACTGATTGATACGTTGAACAAAGAACTGGAATCGATAGTCAGTCAAAAAGATCTAGAAGCCATGAAAGAGGATCTTAGGAGGAAAGAAGACAAGGTATTTGAATGGTTTAAAACTGATGTTTACTAGTAGCTTCAAATAAGTTCATAGAGTCATTTAGTATAGTAATAAAGGTTGTTTATCATAAAACATTAAAAGAAGGATATATCATAAGATATGTAGAGGATATTTATCGATTTTAGATACCGAAATGAAGAAAAAAAGTTCATGCATAAATATATATGTATGTATGTATGTATGTATGTTGTTTGAGCCTCAAGTTATTTCCTTTTTTCTTTATTTCAGTCTGAACTCAAGCAAATTTAACTGTGATATCATTGAGTGATATCATTGTTGAAGTTTATTAGTTTATTGCTTCAGTTGGAGTAATAATCTTAATAAGTAGAATTTCTTTATCTTTTTTGTTTTTGAAAAGATTTATTTCTAAATAGCTAATTTCATTGTCATTATTAAAATAATTAATTTCATATATAATTCTAAAACCTATAACTTTCAATAATTTCTCTCTAAAGCAATATTATCTTCTTACAATATCATTATAGATTAGCCAGTTGGTACGTAGGTTAAAATGTAATTAACGTCAGCGAACTTATTTAATTAATGGGAGTGACTTTTCTCTCTGTAAATTTTTTGCAAATTGATTTTTCTCTCGCATCTATGTGAAAGCGTTAGTTCGAGGATTTGACGAGGAGATAGGAAGTTAGCAGAAAAAGA